GTTTCACCACACAATTAATCTGTTTGTCAGAAATACTAGTTAACTTCTTCTCTTTACTACTTTCCTTTACTAGTGATTTTTCTCTATTATATAAGAAACATAAGAAATTATCCCTACCTTGTAAAAGGACGGACTTTTGATGCTTTTGACTCAGTTTATTAGAGATTTTTCAATTGTGCACTAGACATTGCAATAAAAATATTTTAATTTTTATAAAGTTTTATAATTGAATATTTTCCTTTATCTATAGCTCATCTGCAATATTTATTTAGTCTTTTTACATGTCTTTACTTAGTTAAAATGCAGAGAGATAAATATGGTTGTTACTTTGCAGGGAAGATTCAGTACATTAATATAAACTGTACACTAATTCCCCCAAAGCATATATATATGTTGTAAACCTGAAGACTTTTTACACAGCTGCTTATTGCTAAACAGTGCCTTGTCCAGAAGGGGACAATCTGTGTCTCTAATTGCTGTCACTGAAGCTGAGATTCATTATGTGACTTTCCCATTAAAATGTGAGCATTAATTTGTATAATGAAATATCACCCACTGCAGTGTTCATTAGCCATGCCCTACTGTATACTGCACATTGTTAGCTACCTAGAAACTGTAGTTAATTTCACTAATGGATATTTCCCTACTTAGTGTTTGGTAGGAAATTTATACTGTAACATTACCTCTTAAACTTTTAAGGAAATTTAAATTCAATCAATTATTTTCAACAAAAGTTTGGGATGTCATTAAGACAGGAGAAAAGGCATGCTGTACAATGTTAAGGATGGGAAATCTGGAGAAATCTAGAGAAATGAAAAGTCCTTTTAGTTCATCTTAGAAATGTAAGAATAAAGGATGTTCAATACCAAAATTGTCTCCTCTTGGAGCACATATACCCATTTCCCTTAATTATTCATATTGCTCATCCCACTACAAGCGCCTTCAGAGAATGGCAACAGGCAGTCTTTTTTTAGGATGAAAATGTGAATTGAATTCATTTAAAACAGCACCATTTTTACTGTATTTCATCAGTTCAGCTAAGCAAGTTTTAGAATTGGCTAGTCACATTTCCAAGGGAAAATGCAGTAACACTGTAAATGTATATAATACATCTAATACACGTAAGATGTGTGTCATACATACCATAACATACTCTCAGTCAATGGACACAGCCCTACCAAGATTTTTCTTCTTATACCTCTTTCTTACATTTTTTCTATTTATCACAACCCAAACCTTCTTCAAGGCTCGACTTTGCTCATGCACATTATTCTTTTTTCATTGCTCAAGGGATTTAACTGTGCCAGTCACGCTGGGAATATACCTCAGCACCTAATGACCACACAAACCCAAACTGGTCTCCATCTGAATGGAGCTTCTGAATGCCAACGCAAGGGGCAAAGAGGTGCTAGAGCCAGTCTGAAGCTGGCCCCTACACCATGTGTTGCTCATCAAAGGTAGAACAGAAATTTTAATTTTTTACACTTAACTCTTTCTGTGCAGTCCAAAGGCCAAGACATGACAAGTAAAAACCACACCCATTTATTTGATTTCAGCGGGAACTGAGAGTGCTGAAGAACACAAAGAAGATGCTACTCTCCTTTAATGTAGGAACCTTACGCTGCTCCCCACAGAGGGGAAAAACTGCAACTGTGGAAGCATCTGGCGTATGGCACGTTATGAGTCCGAGATACTTGGATGGTTTTCTTTTTCACAAAGTCTGAGCATCTCTAAGCCCTCTGTGTTACAACCTTCTTAGCTGTATTACGTACTATTTTATAACCAGGAATCACAAAGTGGTCTGCCCACACATCTACTGTGCATTACTGGTGAATACACACACTTTGCCCCTGTTTCTGCAATTCTTCATGCAGTGAATTTGTGTGAGTTGAAGTAGGCAGCTTTGAAGAAGCAGGACCATAGAGCCCATCTCTGTTCACTGGTCAACATAAAGATGTCACCTAGGAGGGCTACAGGAGTTCTGTCCGTCCTCTCTAAGCCCTGAGGCTCTGGAGCATCTTGCCCTAAGAGTCCTTCCTCTCTTCTCTTGGGTTTGAACTCAGGAACTCTCTTGTCCTTCAACTGTTTTTAGAGCAAGAGGAGAAACTCAGATTTCAGATAATTATGGCCTTTTCTTCTTATCATATGGGAAGAATCAGACATCATATCTTACTATCTTCCCCTTAAAGCTCTTCCTGGCTGAATATCATTGAATTAGATAAGAGGACAAATCCTCTACAATTGTGTGTTGGGACTCAACTGAGTGTGCTAAATAAAACCTTGATTATTTTTTTTTTTTTCCTTCAGAAGCTCATTATATGATAGCAAACTACATTATTATTGTTTTTTCCCTCAGAAGCTCATTATATGATAGCAAACTACACAGAAACTGAGACTCAGTGTGGAGAAGTTTGCAACCACGACATATCCAAGGCAAAAATGAAGCAACCCAAGCCACTAGCTAAATCTTCTAAAAGAGAGCACAGCTTCCTCCTCTTGTGGAGGATTAAACGGCTTCTCTAGCTTTTTTGGGCCAATTGCCACAAAAGCACCTCCTGGCTGGATCAGACTTTGGGTCTTGTCTTGGCACACGTACCAAACCAACCTACTCCTGTGCCTCCAAACACACAGATGTTCGAAGGAACCTGACTTCTGCTGAACTGCTTGAGCTCATCTCTAACAAACAGGTGCTGTGAGAACAAGAACAGTAATTGAGTTAATGTAGTGGAGAAACACAGTAAAGTGTTTTTTATCAGTCAGTTATATGATCCAGGCATATAATAAAGACAGAGTGTGACATAAAAGGCAGGAAACTGTCCCTGATAAGTATGAGCTAACCAATATTTGTTTAATAACTGGTATCTATTACATCATTTCCATTTACTGCAAAGCAACTTAATTTTTATTTAATAACTCTAGTAATTTGCCAATTTACATTTTTATAATATTTATTAGGATTATTTCCAATATGTAAAACATTGCTCCATTTAAACATATTCTTGTCATTATTTACAAATACTTTGTTCTCAACCTAATGGAAACTGATCTTTATCTATTTTAAAATTATAATGATTTTTAAATATATTGCAAATGTTGTTTCAACAGTATGTATGATGTTTTCTTTTTTTTTTTTGTTATTTTATACATGGTTTATTTTTTCTTGTTTTAATTTTGTTTAGTCAGTTTTAATATGCAAGTTTTATGGAATATTTCCATTGCAATTCATCTACTTTCCGTTAGTTCTAAGCCACAAATACCAAATGCGTAATCACTGCCATCTTTAAAACAAGAACAAAATGACCACTATAGAATAAAGCAAAAGGAAGAGGTGGGTATCCTCAGGTTATTTTAAAGAACTTTCCTTTGCATCTCCATTAAGAAAAATGTCAAACTGTTTAAGCCTCATAGTCACAAGATTATTTTCCAATAAAATAACTAACATTTATTTACTTTTACTACATTAGAGCATACAAATAGGGTTTCCGCTGCCTTTCTTCCTTTTTTTTTTTTCTTTACAAAGTCTAACACAACAAAAAGAATATTCCAGCACTAAGTGGTTTGCAATCCAATCAGACAAAACTACATTAGGGTGCTAAATTTTAAAATTCAGATCAAACCACTGTAGTATATTCCTACTCTGCAATCTGAAGGAAGAAGAAAAAATACAAAGGACAAACCTTCCCATCTCAACAATGACATTGTTTTCTTTAAATATTTTTCAACCTTCACTTTCAATTTTTCCAAATCAGGCTTCACATTTGCAATTCCAACATTAAGTATTACACCTGTGCAAACACATAGTAGAAAAATCACTGCTGGTTTGGGGAAGGGGGGAAAATACTGCTTATCTGGGATTTCACTGAAATGAAAATTAACAGTGAAGTTTTTCCAAGTAGGAGGTACAACTGGAAAATAACTCTTCATGCAATTTATTTTACTTATCTATTAGAAAAGCAGCAGTAAAATTCTGAAATTTAAAATGGTTTAAAAAGAAAATTACTCCACAATTACAGTAATTTAAAATAGTTTAAAAAGAAAATTACTCCACAATTACAGTGTCCAATATGTCTGTTTACAAAGAGAAGTATCTTAAATGTCCAGTTTTCCTTATTCTCCCAAAGCCTACTATGATACCTAAGACTTGGAGGAAAACATCATATTGGCCATATACAGGATTTCTGGTAATGTCAACAGGACCTGAGGATATCAGCATTGTACAAATTTTAATTATGGATAGAGTAAATCTTCTTAAACATATACTGGGTCTCTACGTGAACCTTATCATGCATGTAAGTATTTTTAAGTAAACAAGGTATTATGATTCGAATGGAGTGGTTATAGAGGGCTAGTATGGAGAGCAGCCCACCCAATGAGTGACACAGCAGAATAAAATAAGAATCCAGAGCAGTAGTAAGTCTCTCTAGTGTAGAAATACTGTGACTGTTACTAAAATAAAACATGATCAGTTTTACCATGGTGCAAAACATAAAAAGTTTTACCACTTACAAGGACTAAGTCGGGTGAGTTCTAGTGAAAAAGCAAAATAAAAATGCAGATCCATGAAGCTGATGTATTCAAATGAACAGTGAGAGGTTAAAAATGAGCATGCTAAATGGAACAAAAATAGTAACTGAGAAAAACATACAGAATCCCTAAGCAGATGCTAAGGAAGGCCTTTGAAGCAGTTAGTATAACTAAGTCTGAAACCAATAGGCTTATGCCTATTGAAGGACAAGGGTAATTGAAGGAAACAGTGATGAAGCAGGGAAGGAGACAGAAATAACCTCAACTGGGAAAAGATGATTCTATTAAAGTGGTCTTTATCCAACAACACATTCCTTGTGCTTTTATTTAAGACTGTCATATATCTTTCTCAAAAGACTCTCTCCATCTAATGAGTCCAAATCTACACTGGGAATTAAAGCTCCAAGCCACATATTACGTTAACCCCCCCACACATGGCATGTGTCGACAGCGCTCCGCTCACTTGTTCCTCTCACCTGTATGTATTCTCAAGTGGACCTTTAAGTGATGTGAAGTTCTGAAAGTTTTTCCACAATATGGGCAGTCTTTCATGGCAGAACCAAGGCTCCTGTCTCTCAGTAAAGCTGGCTGCTGGACTCCTACAGATCTCCCAGCTTCTTCTCCAATGTCTGCAACACAGAAATGTTCTCACATCACTTCAGCACATGTCAGGAGTTGTTCTCACTAAAACTGCTAACACAACACAAAGTTAAACATGTCAATACTACACCTGTCTATTTCATTCTTTAAATCTGACAGAATGCTGACAATTCACGTATTTTCTTGTTATTGTCTTAAATTATTTCATCTTTCCTATCATCATTTTAAGCAGCATATGGTACCTTTATATTGAACTGAATTATACAAGAAAAGAAACAGCTGTGTCAGCAGCTGGTTTGATTTCTTCTTTTGCTTAGTTCCTATTAATTTTTCGCCAAAAAGTTTTAGATTGCTGCTTTGTTGACTCTATTTAATTTATAAGAATTGTGAAAACCTGTATGCTTTTAGAAGGAAAAAGTTTGCATCAGTATATTAAAACCCCCCATAACAACAGAATTGCAGGGATGAGGGGGGTGGGGATGGGTGTCCAACAGGAGTGGTGATGTCCACACACAAAGCTTGTCAACTTCCTTCTGCAACATTTCAGCATTGGCGTCACGACACGGGACCTAGGGAATCACCTAATATCATGGGAAATGCCATGAAAAAATTGGTCAGGGGAGGGGGAATTCCCTCTCCCTCTCGCCCGCAGCTCCTGGGCTTTCTCCTTCAGTGTTCACAGCTACTCTTGTTCTTTGCATCGTAATACAGTAAGTGAGACTCCAGGACATCTCTTCTCCCTCCTGATATAAAGAAACAGATATTCCCAGCCATCTTGAGCGAGCTGCTATTACCCAAGCAGGCTATGAACAAAATAACTTACAAATGACTGACATAAAAAATGCAAAAATATAGGGCATTTTTAAAAAGTCACTATTCAAACCACACGAGACTCATCTATCATCTTGTACTTACAGGGTCATGCAATATCACATATATGTATCAATTCCCAATTTCACCAACATATACCCTGGCAAATGTTGAAATTCTGAACCAGATTTATGGTGCTGGCACAGCACAGAGGTGCAATACACATGGACACAGCATCACACCCCCACGCAAAAGCTGAGCTATCTGGGTTACATTGAGATGGGGAGCACATAGTTAAAATCTGCACGCAGAGTCTTGATTATTTCAAGCATAAACTACTGACTAAAAATGTTCTGTCTTTACCCATTTGATATGTAACTAAAGCTGTCAGGAAACATAGTACAGTTTACACAGCATTGCCTTTTAAATGGAAGTGATGGGACATAAGAAAGACTTAAACATTTGGCTCTAATAAAAACTATTCACGCAGTAGCAGAGACCCAAATACCACATTTCTGGAAAAGGTAACACTAACAGGCATTTAGTTATTTATTATAAAATGGTCCCTCTAAACCATCTCACTTAAAGCTGAAAGAATGGGATCATAGAGTGATTAAAAAATATATATATATAAAAAATGCTTAGCTTAGTCATGTATGTAATCAAGGTATTGCTAGTATTCAAAAGGCAAAATGATTTTTCACATCACATTCTTATTTAACATTTTCCGATTGTTCTTAGACTGCAGAGTTAAAGCACAATATTTAAGTTAGAAAGCTAGTAACTGTCATTTTGAATTATTCACAAGTATGTAAAGTAACATACTGCAGGAGTTTATTTTGTCCAGGAAAACATATATAGGTGCTAGGCGATAATTCCAATCTCCCTAAAGAGTTTAGTTTTTCCCCTTTTTTTCTCCTCCAAAGTTGTATATAACCAAGTCTTAAGCTGCTTCAGGAAAAAATGAATTCCTGAGTGCAAAAAGATTTTTCTGAAGTGCAAAATACAGAATGCATGATGATAAACTGCAGGATTTTATTTTGGTTTTCAATAAATACTATATGAGCATTATAGATAAATATATAGATAAAGCTAACAAGCCACTCAGGAGGAATTTGCCGAATAAGTCTACTAGTTATGTTTTGCTATATGTCACTCTAAATGATGGCCTGTTATCCATTTGCCTTTTATCTTTCTATCTAGAATATGTGTGGCCCAATAAAAAAGAATAAATTTGTAAGATAAACAGCTCGCTTTGCAGATTTAAGAGTCTAATTTTCACTTTACACAAAATTGAATTTTTTCAAGGCAGCGAGACGACTGAGTTTACTCTAGCACTAATCCCTCTGAAAAAGCAAACTGAAAACAACAATGAAGCAAAGAAAGATGTGGGTGGTCTGAAGAGTTTTCTTTTAGATTTAAGTAGACATACAGTAGATAGCTCCAAAGGCTTTGCTCCAACAGGGGCCTTACCTTGAAGAATTTTTCTTCCCACAGTGAAAGCATTCCTAAGACTTTAAAGCTGGGCTGAGGGGTTTTCTTTTGAATTCCTCTGCCTACAAAGCCCACCGAAGCGCTGGAGGCCATCGCTACCTGAATGAGCAGCTTTACATCTAAGTTCTTTTATTTCAAACAATGAAAAGATATGTTCAAGGCTGCCGACTCTCCCCATCAAATGCCACCCCAAGTTCTTACTAGGGCCCCATTTTGGCAGATCAGACCTATTTGTCAAGGCACTTAAGTTTAAAATGTGCTTAACTTTAAACGCATTTAAGTCTCACTGACTCTGCTACCAAGGGTTTTTTTTTTTATACTGAGTCTCTGAAAGCAATCTATGGAAAGTGAAGGGGGAAAAAGTGACACAGAAAAAGAAGAGATCAGCAAGGAAAAAGTTAAGAAGCAAACTGAATACAGACTATGCCAACATTACTGAATGTGAGGAATGAAAAATCTTCAGCTCCACCAATAATCCTGCATTCTACACCTCCCTTTCTCCTGCTATTGAGAACCCCTTCTTAAGTAGAAACTCAGCTCTGTTAAATTGTGCAAAACTGTAGCAATGTTTTACAGACCTGCAGAACTAGGATTAGCCCCAGCAAACTCATTTAATTTATGATTTACTTGGGATTTGAGCTATGGTTTTTGGGCTGCTCAATTCCGAGGATAAAAGATCAGGAAGGAAAGAGAACAGTTACTTATCTTACATCCATTGTGGTTCACTGAGTTATGTGGTCTACATGATGTGCACTCGATGCACGTGGGATTCGACTGCTTTTTTTCACTATCTGCTTCCATTACAGGCAGGTCTACGTCCTGAATGTCTTCCTGCCCATCCCTACCTTTCCTGATTCAAGTGCAGGAAATATCAGAACAGGGCATAAAATATTGCATAGATGCCCGTGCGAGATGTCAGGCTTCCGAGCCTTGTCTCTGAACTGACTTTCACGGAGCTTTCCTTTCACTTTGAAAGCATCTGTTCACGGCAAAAGTCATGGACAGAAGTGCAAAAAGCAACACTCGGTTCTGTATATGAAACCAGTCCTTGTGCCAGTGTAAGGAGAAGGCAACAGCTGTGAGATCTCCAGCTGCCTCATACTCTGTACCTGCTGGGCAGATACTGCTCCACGGCACAGGACTCGGAGGAATTCAGCCATGAAGCAGCTCCTGGGGTGGCATGACAGGGACACCTCTTGTGTACCGTGCCTTGTAACTGACTGTGCGCCTGTTCTCATGGGACAAACGCAAGGAAAGAGAGTTCACTTTATCAGAAGGTGGCAATTAGCCACATAACTGAAGAGCCAAATGTATTTGCTCCACAGACCGAAATTAAAATTAAGCAATCCATAAGATCAGTATTTGAATGACTAGCCCGTCTTCAGACGGGCGCCCACTTCTCAGGAGAGGAGGGACAAAACCCCACCACTCTCACCTATCATGGAGATGACCCATGTAGTGCTGCAGGTTCCTTTCACTTCCCTGCGGTACTTGAAAAGGAAATTTCCACAGAGCCAGGTAATCCCAATAAACAGTTTTGAGCTGGGAGCACTTTAACAGTAGCAGGTTAAAAGAAAGTGTGAAACACAGTGAATCCTTTTTTACAGCAGGTATCTTACTAGGTATGAGAAATGATCTACCCAGAAATGAGCCGCTGCCATGGCTGGCAGTGCCCTCAGCACATGGACAGAGATGCTACAGAGGCACAATGCCAAATTCAGTGGGTATTTCCAGAAAAGAGAAGACAGACTTAGGTGGATAGAGAATCTGTGTACTCAAAGCAGAAGCTATCTGGGCAGTCATAGGAAGAGCAAAAGAAAAATAATTATTTGAAATTTCCATATATGTTCCGTAGGACTGGTCTACCTCTCTGGGATGTGCCTATCAACATGATTAGAAAAGCATTGATTGCTTTTGTAAAAACAAACCTGTTTTCAGTTGGTTAGGTACCAGCACTGACCTCAGTCATGTCAGCAGCCAAATTTTCAAAGGCACATCTACATACACATCCCCTAAATTTTACAGGAGTATTTATTTGCCGCCTGTATGTGAAAGTGCAGGGATTCACAAAGAGGTGCTTTCATGTTCGAAGGAGCTAAATTGCAGTCCTCATTGCAGGCTAAATTATCAATGAAGTCAGTTGGAATTTATCGACACAAAGATTGCCAAATTAGCCAAAACCAGGCAATCACATGGAAAAGGTAATCAACTCACAAAATAGGAAATCACGCTTAAAAGTACGTGTTTGTTCTTGCACATTTTTCAGACATTACTAAAGAACCCTTAGAAAATGTGGCCAGAAGCCTTTAAAGAGGCACATAATCCCAGATTTTCATATATTTCTGAAATTCAAAATATTTGCAGTTCTTTAGAGCTGCCTGTGAAAGTCAATGGTGCAATGAGAAGCGGTAGTGGCCGCGGTTATTTTTTGATCAGCTATAAACCACCCAGATCAGCCCATCTCGTGGCAGCAGAAATTATATTCTGAATCTCCTGTCAAGAAGGGAGGTAGAAGATCTTCACTGTGTTAATCCTGTCACTGCTGCCACCGGGCAAGTGTGCCTGGATTCGACCACCTCTGGGAAGCAGTACAGCATACACAAAGTTTCTGGGAAAGCATGCTTACCTTTCTTGCCTATTCCTTAGAGAAAGCTTTAATAATACTGAAAATAGCGGCAAACGGGAATATGGTTAGGGATACAATTAACCATATTTTTCTAGCTAC